ACTAATTTTCTTTGATTTTTTAGATTTATAGCCTATTGCGACTACCTCCTTGAATATATATTATCAATTCAACACTAATTTTTATATTTTTAATTTACTAATAAAAATTTATTTTAACTAATAATTTTTTAATATAATTTACTTTTTATATTTATAATTTACATTTGAGAAAGGTGAATCAAATAAACTATTTAGAAATTGTATGTTTAGTTACAAGAGGCTGTTTATGTAATAATTAATTTATAGGATGCAATTAATCTCAGGCATGCAAAATTTTCTAAATTATATTATGCAATTATAATAAATTCATAAAAAATAATTTTTATTTTTTAATTGAAAATTTTAAATCATTTAAATTTATTGAGTCACGTGCTAAAATCATGTTTGCCTCTTTTACTCTTAAGGTGGGTTGTCCTTTTTAGCCCCACTTCTCCTTGAGTCTATATTTGGACCACAAGAACATATAGCACAAACTTGCAAGGGAATGATTACAAGAAAATTTAATGGTCCCAATTAATTTAATTAATAAAAATTTAAAAATATTATCAAAATTTTAAGATATCAAATTAACATTAATATAGATAAATATAAGATTTTTTAATGCCTTCTAAAATAAATTTTTTTTATAGTACGAAAATTTGTTGAACTAAAAATTTTTCTACTAAAAAGTTACCTTAGAAAACAGTAAGAAAGGTGACCCAAATGAATTCTAAGGCTTCATTTGGGATAGATTTTTTTATTGTTTTTAAAAAAGAGTTTTAGTACAAAAATCTTAAGAAACAATTAAAAAGTCGTCCCAAATGAAACCTAAATCTAGATGTTTAAAATTTTAAGAGCAAAACTCGCCTAATAATCTTCCCTGTCGCACAATCCATCCAATCTTCTCACCCCTTCACCAACTTTCTTTTCCCTAACTCCAAGCTTACTTTACCTATCTATTTTAATCAGGTGGGTGAACAGTCAAATTCGACAGATCAGAATTCTCAAATTTATTTTCAACGAACGTTCTACGACTTCAAAGTGCCGACGCTAATGTTCTAGTTTCATTTAAACCTTCTTTTATTAATTAGAATTTTGAAAATAAATTCCATTGATTAGATAGTTAAATAGGTTATAAATCCTTCTAGAATGAATGAAGGGCAAGTATATATGGACTTAGTGATGGCTACGTTGGATGGAGGTGGGTGGAGATTTTTTTTTCTCTTACGTTTCATACCTAACAATTTGTTGTGTAGTAGGCAACTACAAAGCAAGAAGGTATCCACCACATATTGCTAAAATTAGTGATATGTAATTATGTATTATGGAGGGACTCCTTTGTTTTTTTTCTTCAAAGATGAGAGTAATTTCCCAATATAAAAAATCATCTCTGAAAGCGTAAAACTAAGATATTTTATTATTTTCTCTTATAACTATCTTTTATGAGTAAATTTAAGATTTATTTAGGATGACCGGAACATTTTATTAAAGTTATTGTGAGCTATCATAAAAAAATAATAATTAAAAAAAGATTTTACAAATATATCTTTTTTTAATTGAATAACTATTTTTTTAAGTTATCACACATTAGCAATTTTAATTATACAAAATAGTTCCCTCTCTTAGGTCTCGTAGTAAAAAAATCTATTATAAATAGACTCTTAGGCTTCGTTTGGGCCAGTTCTGACTATTATTTTTTCGTTATTTTTAAATAAAAAATATACTAAAAAATTACTATAGAAAACAGAAAGAAAATAATTCAAAACAAAACTTAAGATTTTGTTTGTGACGATTTTATTACTGCTTATTAAAGTAACACTTTATACAAAATTAAAATTTTTCTGATATAAATCTACTTTAAAAAGAGCAAGAAAATCGTTCCAAATAAAATCTTATTTGGCCTTTTCATGAGTACATAGCATGTTGTTATTATTACAAATAATACACTTTTAGAATATTTTTCAGCAACAACAGAAAGATTAATGCAAAATATTTAATTTTATGATTAGTTTCTCTACTGAGGTCAGCAATCCCTGCATTATTATTCTACCGTCCTTTCTCCAATACAGTACAGTTATATTTCATTTTCAGCTTGCATCTTTATGGGCACTAACGCATGAGATCTCATGACCTGAATGGATTTGTAGAGATCACTCCTTGGTTTCCATCACATAAAAAAAATAATAAAAATTTTGTCGAGAGTTTGGAAATTCAATTTTAATTATAAATTTGATCAGTTTTTTTAATTTAAAGTATTATTAGACGTAATATTTTAATATTTAAGCTATGAAATAAAAAAGATAGCCTAATTCGGATTAAGGATCTGTTTGGGATGGCTATAATTTTTTATAAAATTGATTGTAAAGTTATTGTGCGGAAAAAAATTTAACTGTTTGTGCTGTAAGAAGCAACTTTTCATCACATAAAGTTTTTAAAAGAAATAAGAAAATAATGATCAAATGAAATTGTAATTGATGTTTGAAAAGCAAAGAAACTAGGAAGCTATTCCAAATAGACTCTAAATTGAAATTTAAATACAGATTCTAGTACATTTTTTAAGAGATCCCAAATATTTTAGCGTGTTCAAAATCTATGATTTTCAAATAAAATTTGATTTTGAGCTTTTGTCGAAATTTGTGAACCGAAATATTAAATAATAATAATAATAATGGGGTTTAAATCAATTAATTTCAATCAATTTCGAATCGAAATCATCAAAATCAAATTGAAATCATCAAAACTTAAAACCATAATGTTCAAAAACTAGTGATGAAAAAAATTTCAAACAAATAATTAAACTTGTCAGACAAATTTAGGTTTCATTTGAGATAGCTTTATTATTATTTTTTAAATCAAATTTTCAGTACAAAATTTTTTAAAGTTTTAAATTTTGCGCTAAAAAACTGTTTTAAAAAATAATAAAAAAGTTATCTCAAATGAAGTCTTAGTTGAGTTTTCTCATAATCATCATACTATTTACCTTTATATATTTGATTGTCCGGAGACCAATCAGAATGCATCATGTCAACAGTACCAAGCTGTATCGAGCCGCGGTACCGAGCGAAGGGGTGATGTGACGCATTTTGATTGATCTCTGAGAGGTATTTTGCATCCGCACAGAATAATTAATCTTATAAAAGAGTGCTGATGATTTTGAACGCTCCACATAATTTGTAGGAGTTGGGTGCTATTTAACTAAGGCTCGACCTTTACGTAGAACAGTTGAGCATGTTGAGTGACACCTGTCATTTGAATATTTAAGAAAAGAATTCACCTAGAGAGAAGAGGTGAAATAACAAATGATTTGTGAAGTTAGGTAGATGCAATTTTATAGGCAGACCTAATTTTGATGTTCTTTAGTTTCTTCTTTCTTAGTAAACGTTTCAGAGTTTATGGTTGGATTGAGATCAAATAATTCATGTAATTTTTATCTTTCATCGATCTTCATTGTCTTATGTCATGGTTGGGTAAGGTTCAAGAGCGCGTGTCACCGCATAGTTAAGTTGACAATCAGCATATGATGATACAAATGGCTCTGATATAATGAATTTTTCACTTAACTATATGATGACATGCGCTTTTATAGGCGACATATTATTATGATACGCGTGTCTAAGGGTGTAACAAGTCACGTCGATTAGGACTCGACTTGTTAATAGGCTCGACAAGTTAAGCATATCGAGCTAGCCAGTCGAGCTTATCAAGCTAGAGAGTCAAGCCTATCGAGCTCGAGCTCGAACAGAACTCCACACGACTTGTGAGCTTGTCGAGCCGCTCGCGGATGTGACAGAGCTCGAGATGATGACGGAGCTCTGGTCGACGACGAAGCTTAGGATGACAGTGGACGCGTCGACAAAGGTTGTGTGCTGCTCGGGGCAGAACTCAACGAGCCGCTCAACGTGAAAAGAGTCGAGCTCGAGCTCGTATTTTAAGCTCGATTAGAGTCCGAGTTCGATATTCGGTAGTCGAGCTCGACTTGAACACTCATTGACTTGAGCTCGACTCCACTCATTTGCACCCCTACGCGTGTCTGATCAAATAAGTCAAGTAATTTTTTTTTTTGGTTCTCGCTTACAATTGTTTAAAATGAATTTAATTATTGACATATTATGACGTTACATATATATGAATATATGCATGTATCATACAAATTTGATGTTTTATTTCCCAAAAGCTAATACTTGAGTGTTCATTTAATTTGTTTGTCATAGTTAGAAAATTATTTATTAAGGCTTTAAATTATTTGAGTTATCTTTCTTACTATTTTGTAAAGCTATTACATAGAAAGTAACTTTCTGGGAAGCTCCTTTTGTTTTACATTAAAAACTGTGAAAATTGCTCGCCATGATCATCCACCCATAATCCTAATAGTTGGAACTTCAACCATTGTCCGCACTATCAAGACATCAATTAAGACAAATTCATACTCATCACATATATAAATATCAAATTCAAGACCTTCTAATTAGTAATCAAAACTCTCAATAGGCATAATATTTAATTTAAATTAGCAATAGGATCATGTGTTTAAAAAAAAAATTAAAAAGAAGCAAATTAGCTTAACATAATGATACATTTTAAAGAATACATCAAATCATTTGAAGTATTCCGCCCAATCAACTGAATTAAATTTTGAAAGTACTATTGCGAAGCCCCAAAATGTTTGACACATTCAATGAAATGCGTTATTTTGTTTGACTAATTTGATTTTTTTTATTTTATTTAATATTATGTTCCTATTTCTAATTTAATTAAAAATTACGCTCCTTAAATAAAATCCTAATAGATAGAGATGAGCTTATATAAAGATAAATAAATAAATAAAAAATGGTGGTCACAGCAGCACAGTTTACCACACAACTATGGGCAGAGGTGGGCCACAGCTATTGGAGCAGGATAAATAATAACCGCCCAAACAAGATAAACACCTGAATCAGCCCTCATCATCCTCCTTTAATAAATTAGGTATGCCATCCTCATACCTACCAATAACCTAATATAATATATCTCCATCAATTTATTTCTTCCTTTTTTTTAAACTGCTTGCATTATATCTTATGAGGTCATCAACAGCAGCAAGAAGGAAAGCTAACAGCCTACCACCATCCACTCTCCTTCCCCCCACCATCTTTCTTACCAAATCTCTTCTAGAAGCCTAAAATTAACTCCCCACCTTTCTCTCTCTCTCTCAGTCAAACTCTTATATATCTCGTCCCACTTCCAATCTCATCAATTGGTGCTAAGAAAGAGAGGAAGAAGGCTGGTTCGCCATGGGAAGGTCTCCTTGTTGTGAGAAAGCTCACACCAATAAAGGCGCTTGGACTAAGGAAGAAGATGAGCGCCTCATCGCTTATATCAAGGCGAACGGCGAGGGTTGCTGGCGATCTCTTCCGAAGGCTGCAAGCCTACTTCGATGTGGAAAAAGTTGTCGTCTTCGGTGGATCAATTACCTCCGCCCTGATCTCAAGCGCGGGAACTTCACCGACGAGGAGGACGAGCTCATCATCAAACTTCATAGTCTTCTTGGAAACAAGTAAGTCTTCAATTTCTTAAATTCAAAATTTCATCTTTAAATTCAAAATTTGATCTTTTTTGTTCTAATTACTGAAATTTTTTGTTATAGATGGTCGTTGATAGCAGCGCGGCTACCAGGGAGGACGGATAATGAGATAAAGAACTACTGGAACACCCACATCAAGCGAAAATTGGTGAATTTGGGGATAGATCCTGCGACGCACCGCCCTCTCCATGAGGCACAACAGAACAACTCGATTTCTTTCTTTAAAGCTGGAAATAACAAAGCCGTGGAGTTTGCTAAGCGAGAGGAAGGCAGAAATAAGAGCAGCAGTAGCAGTAGCAGCAGCAGCAGCAGTAACAGTAGCGAAAAGATGCTTATGTGGCGGCGGTCCGAGGAGGAGAAGACGAAGTGGCGATGCCCGGACTTGAATCTGGAGCTCAGCATAAGCCCTCCTTATGAGAAAAAGGAGGATTTTTTTGACTACGAGGTTTTGAATAGGGATCCATTGATTGGTCTTTGTTTCAGCTGTAAACTTGGTGTTAAGAACAGCTCTGAATGCAAGTGCGGTGGCGTCTTTCTTGGATTTAGTAGAGGAGTGTTAGATTATAGAAGCCTTGAAACTAATTGAGAGGATTTTTTTTTTAATAATTTTTTTTTTAGTTTAGGAATGAGAGAACTCAATCTCTTCTGCCTTATTTGTATAATTATTGGCATATATATTATCTATGTTCCTACATGAGCTGATTTCTGGAAGGTGATTATGGATGATCTTATGCTCATTAATTTTTTTGCTAATTTTAATTATCTCATTTATTTGAAGAAATTAATAGAGTTAATTTGTTATAATAAAATATAAGAAGAAAAAAAACTGATGAGCTGCAACCATGTGACAAACTGGATGAAATATGAGAGGATGAGAAGCACAAGAAAAGGTTAGGTATGGCATACCAAAAAATACGGCACTCGAAGTTAGAAAAATTATTCTGTGCAGAATTTGGATGTAGAATTACGTATTGATTGTAAGCATACACATAATATATATATGTAATGTATATACATTGTGTATATTCATATGTTCAGCGTAACTCTGTGTTCAAACTCCGTACAGAATAATTTCTCTTCAAATTGAGGCTTCGATTGAGATGACTTTATTAATGCTTTTTAATGTACTTTTTTAGCATAAAAATTTTAACTTTTTATTAAAAATTTTAATTTTATAAACAATATTTATATATTGTGGGTAGAGTAGGATATGAACGAGTTAATGAATTAATTAATTTGAAAGTGCGCAAAAGGAATGGGTATCAGTATCTAAGACCTGAAGTCAATGCAATAGTTTATAATGTTATCTCTATTACACAGAATGTAATGCATGAACTTCATAATTAAGTGTGCATACATAAGGACGCATCAATGGTGCATCTCAATTACTGAATTTCATCTAGCTAGAGGGGACAGGCCTTGCCATGAGCACTGGATTTCGGCGTGGCCCATCATCACTTGTAGAACATTTTATTATCATAAATGAGTGATTCTTGTTCATGTGGGACCTTTGTATGTGTACAAAATCTTATCCTTGAAGCTGCATAACTCTCGTACTTAGACTTTGTTTGGGACGATTTTTTTATTACTTTTTAAAATAGAATTTTAATAAAAAAATTAAGAAACAATAAGAAAACTGTCCCAAACGAAGCCTTAAGCTTGATTTGAAATTATTTTAGAAAGCATTAAGAAAGCTGTTCCAAACAAAATCTTATTTGAAATATGATTCATTGACTATCATTTAGCAAGTAACAATTTTATATAATAATGTGCATAATAGATGGCTGCAATAGGAAAAACTAACAATTAAAAAAACTTTGCGTAATAAGGAAGGCCAAATGACATAAATTTATGAAATTAGGGTCACTTGGTTTGTGATCAACCCAGAGGAAATAGAAGAAGATTTTTAAAGGAGTGTCCTTGAATTTTCTTCCGTTTTAACAACATTTGTATGCCATAAGCTATATATGATTAATACCATCTGAAGGCTATCGTTTAATGTTATCATCTGACAGTTAACCTTCATCTATTGCAATTCGTCGATTATATATGAGAAACTATTATATTAAACAATTGTACTCATCTGATGACCTCTTGTATTTATTACAATGCATATATCTTACAAGTTTAAAGCAAATACTGATAGTAATGGAAAATCATGCATATATATGATTTATGATAGAATAATCACTTCAAATTTAGAAAAAAGTTTATACTAATAATAATAGACACGATTAATTGACCATATGTACAATCTAAATTTTGATAATTAAAAAAAAAAAGAACCCTAAAAATTTGTAATTTTACAAATTTATAACAAATTTCAACTCATTTGACCTTTAAATTTAAAAAAAAAATTATTTTTTACATACAATTTTGATAGATTTTTGTCATATACCTCAAATTAAGTGCAACAAAAATAACTATTTAATCAAATTTTAATAGATATTTCTCAAGAAAATATCCTTTTGATAGGACATAAAATTCTTCCCTAATGATTTAGATGAATTGGAAACTACTATTCAAGTAAATATATGTCCCTTTCCAAGAAAAGAAAATTATGGAACCCTAAATATATAAAATAATATGATAAGCAGGCAAATCCCTTTCCTTGAGTCACCTACCCTCCCACCTTTCTTTTATCAAAGTGTGGGTTTTGTAAGCATAAAAAACCTTCCATGATCAATCCTTCACATCAAAATAGCATTTAATTAAGATTTGAATTTTTCAACTCCCACAAACACATTCATGGCATTTAATGAGGTCCCATTGCTTTCCACCATTTCAAATTGTTAACCAAATAAATTCCCATTAATTTTGAGATTTTAATGGTTGCTCACAATTTCAAAATTTTAAAATTTTAAAATTCATATTTCATCAAAATAATTAGGATGCCGACACTACATGCATGATCCTAACAAATTAATTAAGATTTTGTTTAGGACCGCTTTTTTACTATTTCTTAAAGTAGTTTTTTAATACCAAAATATTAATTTTTGTACTATAAAGCTGCTTTAAGAAGCAGTAAGAAAGTCGTCTAAAACAAAGCTTTAAGAGTAATAATTATATGAGAATATCTTGATATAAATTATATTAAAATAAAATAAATTTATTTTAAGATTATATAATATAAATTCTTCATATATATAGCACTAATATCTTACTAAATCTAAATATATTCTTGATATAATTACTATCAGGATATTCCGATGTCGTAATTATTTTCTTCTCGTAATCTCTTGAAGTTATGAAATTAAAATAGAGAGAATATGATATCTGGATATTCTAAAACAAAATTAATCATGATGAATCTCTCAAATTAATCTTTTAATCTAATTTTGATAATTACACTAATATGGTGCCAAATCTAAGAGATTTGATCAAATATTTTAATTAATTTTGAAACTTTAGTCATACCATTATGATTTGAATTTTTTAGTTGTAATCTTTGCATATTAGTCTTAGGCTTCCCTTGGGGCAAAATTTTTAATACCAAAATTAAAATTTTTTATAACAAAAATTTATTTTTAAAAATAATATACAATTTCAACAACTTGGCAATGGAAACCCTTCTTCTAAAATATATATGTAGCACGTGGTTGACGTAACAAATATGTAAGGAATTTCTATGCGTGAAAATTTTGACCTCATAGGCTCATAGCAATACTTCTTAGAGAGAACGCATAGAATTTCTATTAGTTCTATTTTGTATGAGAACTGAGAAGTAATATATAGAAAGAGAAAGTTAAAAAATATATATTTTTATATAGGATAAAACATCTAAAAAAAAAAATTGAATAGCTAAATGTGGCTCTCAAATAAGTTAAGAAAATCTTAGATCAGCTCTTACGATTTTACATGATTAATAGAAAAATAACTTAGGAATTTTATTTTAGGATAGGAAGTAATTATTTTTAATTTCATTATATTTTATTTTTATTTATTTTTATACAAGTCAAATATTTATATTAGTAAATCCATTCAACTAATATTATAAAAATGTAGAAAAGAACAATTTCAAAATTTTCGCAACTGCATTCAAAAGTAAAAAACTGGGAAATAATTTAAAATATGGAATTCAAAATAGTATCATAACGTTATAATTTAAGATTTTAATTTGACTTAGGAGATGGCTTTCGATATTTACTTTTTTTTCAGGGCATCAAATCATAATTTCACGTATTGAATTACTACTTTTTTTGTTAATTTTTTCATTAGCGTTTTAGAAATTGCGTGTTGTAGGAAAGATGATTTCTTGAAGCAATGAATTAATTAGGAATATTCTTGGACAAAGCTATTCTTAATGCTTTGTTCACAACTACAACATAATTATCTCTACAGACATTATTTGCTACTTCAAAGAAATCTTGTGCTAGAAAATGCTGATGTTTTGCAAGCAACTCATCTGTCTCCAAACATATTCGCAACTTCTTAAGTTACATTTTCCTCACAGCTACACACAATCCAAACAAATCCTTAATTTTGATTTTAATTTAATTTAAAAGTACGAAAAACCATAATGATTTCGAGTATGAGGCGAAAATTAAAACTTCTTTGAGCATAATTGAATCAAATTCGATCCAAAAGTCATTCCTAAATACTTTAAAGCTACGCAATTTTTGATGAACTTGTAACTTAAGAGCCAACAGATGTAATATTATTATCTAATAAAAGTAACACAAAGAATGATTATTATTAAATACCACCATTAAATACATTTAATGAATAATATAAATCAAACAGTTAGAAGCCTAACAAAGGTGCCAGAAATGCCGGACATACAAGAGATGGTTTCAAAGCTCTACCACAACCCACAACACATTATTGTATTTCCAGTATTACGTTGTAGTTCGGTGAAAGAGCGTATTGTTACTCTGATATTCAGCCCCATAAGTACTATAAATATTTTCATTTCGGACAACTTTCGTACTAGTCTTATAAAACAAAGTTTTAGGGCACATTAATTTTTTGAGAAAAAAAAATTGCTCTAGAAGCTCAGTTTTATAAAGCAATAAGCAGACTGTTCTCAAAATAAAAATCTAATTTTATTTCCCTTATTGGAACCCTAAGCTTTATACCATTCATTACCGCAAATGAAGCACAATTTAATATGTAAAAAATATAAGCTTAGAATATTCCATATTAAAATTTTTATCATCGATTAGCTGTACAATAAATTTTAAATTTTTGATAAAAGAAATATAAGTTTTAATTATATTTTTTATATATTGATTTATACTCAAATAAACTTATTAATTTTAAAAATGTTAAAAAATAATCTTTAATATTTTTTTTTTTCCGGTATCGGGTACTTGACAGCAATGGTGAAGAAACTTAAAACTCGTCAAATTATGATTTGTTTGATGATTGGTGTGGGATAATTATTTTATCACTATTTTTTATTATTTTAATAATTTTTTTATAAAAAACTTCTTTAAGAAGGATTTATGCAATAGATAATTTATCCTCATAGAGCCTAATTAGTTTACAGTACTCATAATGGCCCAAATTTTAGTTTAGTACTCATATATATATATATTATTACTAGTATATATAATATTATTATTATATTAATTTTATATATATATATCATTGCTAACAATATCAAAAAATTTTGGGAAAAAAAAAAAAAAAATAAAAATAAAGGTTATGTAGCCCATATCCAACCACTGGGATAGAATCTCATAAACAT